AATACTTTTAGGGGAATTTTTACATAAATCATTTATTTTAAGAAATGAGCTTTTTTTGGATATAATACCTTGACTCTTTTTTTCTATTTTTTTTTTTTTTACGTTATCATACTTTGATATTTTTAATTACTTATATATTTATTGCTGTAAACCAATAGAACATTTGTAATTCTAAGGATGCAATAAAGTTATTATTATTATTATATTATGAACTTACTCATGCTTTGAATTTTCACATCGACTCATATTGATATACGCGGTGATTTACAACGCTAACTTAATTAACATTCATCAATTAGAGAGCTACAATGGAAGTGATACAGAACGCACTGACTACTCCGTACAGTCCTGTGAAAACAACCCATGAACGTGATCATATGGCGTATTTGTAAACAAATAGGACACCTAGTACGGTCGGTCGACTCGTCCATTCAGTTTACTGGTCTATTTTAGCTCACATACACACGCACCCATCAGTGTCTGCAACCCTTGGTCACAACAACAACTCCGACACGTGACTGCATGCTGTGATCGCTTCAACGAGGCACCAAATAATGCTATACAGCTGTGAATTGCACTTACCAGGCTTAATGAAAACAAGATGTCTGCCGGTGTACAATGTACGTCCAAAGGATGTTACTGTCAGTGGAATCGAGTAGTTCGATGGCCTTCGATTATTTCTCGTGGAGTGTAAATATAATATAACTACCTTTGCACTCGTTGGCCTCACGTTAAACTCGGCATGTCCACGTATTCCAGATATATCATGCCTACGGAGCTCAACTCACAAGCTCCAGATGGATACCAGACACTCCTTAGATCAGACGTGCGCATGCGTGATTTCGTAACACCTTTCGTAATATTGTGAACAATGCACCTGTACGTTCTTTGGTGCGGGTTATGTTATTGTTTTATGCTTTAGTGCAAACACCTACCGGGTATAAAAGGGCATGTGAGAAGAACAATGTGTTTCCGTATGAAATAAAGTTTACATATGTATGTACGTAATTTGAAGATGAGTTATAACGATGAATGGAATGCACTTTCTGCACAGAAAGTAAACAGTCTACCCACAGTTCTGAATATCAGACAGTACCCCTATCTTTTTTCTGTGTTTTTCATTATTGGTTTGTTTTGTTTTTGTAATTTTGATTCAATAAATATCACCAAGGATCTATAAGATTAGTCAGTGAAAGAACTGGTTGGTGCTAATCTCAGTCCGTTTTTGTTGTAGTGTTGTTGCATATTCGCAAAGCGCGTAATGCGAGCGTTTTTGACTAAATTCGAAATGTCTGTTAAAACAACGTTCGATTGACGTGCACGGAATAGACCCGAAATATAATAGACGCTTGCAAATTGGGGAGAGGGGGGCGACCATTCTCCTTCCCAGAGTTCCTTGCGGTTAGATCACCGAAAGTATCTCTGCCACCACACACCGCCATTTTGTGGTGAAACACCACAAGACTTTTACTACGCGTGTCATTTGCGTATTTTTGCTATTAGAGGGCTCTCGTGTTGATTTATTCCTACTGGAAAACAAGTTTTAAAATATTTTATCGATAGCTAATAACGATTTTTCCGTAAATGTACTGTTAAGGGTGAAATAGTTATAATTTACAAAAGAAAATAATTTCATCGCGGAATAACGGTTACAGAGGCACATTACTTGGGGTTTGCAACTACGGTGACATGATACCAAGATCCCGTTACAATCTCGCGCTCGCATAAGCGTTCCAACTCAGAAAAATGCGCATGCCCGAGGTAACTAGGATACTGGGATGTCCAGGTGGATCAAAATAGCTGCTCACGATATGACGGATTACGATAACTATATTTTCTGTATATTTTCGATGTATTACATTTTTTCACTATGAATGTCGTAATACGTGTTTTATTGTTTTATTACAAACCGCCTATGTCATGTCAGAAGGTAGTAGCATCAGTCTCGCTAACTACGAGATGAGACTTGAATGGGATCTTGACATGATGTCACCATACAGTAAACCCCAAGTAATGTACCTCTGCGGTTACTAATGTGTTACTCGGTTCATCAAACTGACCGTCCTGTGGATTGCCAGGCGAAGAAATATAAACAAACGAAAGCACTTCGTAGTATTGGCAACTAAATCGTGCTACTGCCACACCGTTTGTGCTACGGAATATAAAAAAATAGCTTCTCAATTTAAAATTAGCCAGAATCTACAAACAACGCGTACACTTTCGTCAGGTTCGAACACCTGCCTGGCGATGTTTTGTTGGGCGTCTTTGTAAGTAGTTCCACTGTGACGCATCGACCAATCAACGACGAGCATAATATCGCGTGGTGGCAGAGATATATTCGTGGAATAGAACTCTGCCTGGGAGATTGGGGGGCGACCAGTATAATATATTCTTATACACGAGGGGCGACACTACCCCAATGTATGATAATGGTCGTATAAATGTTATAATCGATGGTGGTTTCGGCCAATCACGGTCATTTAAAAAATAAAATGACACGCGCCAAAATACAAACAAATTCTGTAGTGAGTGCACTAGCTGTTAAAATTGCGTATGTTAAACCACAATCTCTCCATAGACTATAGAATGACTGTGGTTAAACCTACTATCGGAGTCGATACCCAAGAGCTTTTCCGCAATTCATGCTAGGTGCCGGCGTTGACTAGATTTTCCGATCCACTATCAAAACAGAAAAAAAATCCGAAGGGAGCGCAATGAGTGAATAGATGGCCGTATGTATAGATGTTTTGTGAATGGTGCAACTGATGAGCGCTTGAAGATCATAGTGGTCAATTCCGCACTTGAACACGATTTTATAGGACTCAACGAATGTAAATTGAAGTTTTCACACATAATTGTTGTCTACGAGTGACATCGTTTGAATACAATTGATAACTCGTCGCAACTTGTAATATGTCAGAAATTTGATCTTATATGCCATAGTATATGGATGCGCATCTTTATATAACACGAGTATACCGTCGTAACCATGACAATTCTCGAACCCTCATTGACCAGTCCAAGACTGTCATAGTACTAATGTATATATTATTGATTTCAATTATGGACGAAGGTCTATGTTAGAATCTATCAATATATCATATATTTCTCATTGCATTGGTCGAGTAATTTGTCCTAACAATTACAACAGAAGAACGTAAGTTTGTATGTACTTGAAATGTGAATATGCCACGTAATACAGTATCACGGGGCCCGGACTCGAACACATCAAGACGCGACCGTCAACTCTACGGACCACTCGTATTATTTATGTACGGGTATGCGAGGTACCAACTTTTGATGAAAATTACGGTCTGAGAGATCAAATTTATCAAAACTCACTTACATTTAAAAAAAAAAAACATCCCTTGAAGTTATTGTTTGACACATTATGTCAACACAACAGAAATACGACTGTTTTGATCCCTGAAAATGTCAAAAAACATTGAGAATTTCAAAAAGAGCCCTTTGCCCATTTCGAAACATAATAGTAGTTCACATCCCTTGGGTGCCTCGCATACCCGTTGATAAGTTTATATTATTGACCCCCCCCCCCAGAATCTAAGTCACCAAACGAATGGAGGCGAGTTTTCTAGAAATTCATTGCTTTATTTTAAAGGATAAAAAAAACATTACAAGATATATTTTCAATGCCTAACTGTAATAAATCAATGTCATATTCTCACATACACCTGTTATCACCAATCACATGGACTGTGTACCAATGCATATTCTTGGCGAGTTTTGTATTTATTACATTATACATTGAGGTGCCCAGTAGGGTCAAAAGTCAAATGCGTATAGTATATAAGAAAACTTGAAACATTACTAGTACACGTTGAAAGAAATTAATCTTCAATTTCTGGATTGCAAAGAAATATTTTTTTCCCTAAAGTTTATGTAATGAAGTGGATCTAACATATTAAGATCAGTTAGGAGTATGATTATTGACGTCACGTGAACACTAAACTATTTTTAGCATCATCATTTTTATATTCATACTTCGTTATGACTTTTCTGACATTGTGATTAAGCTTGTCGTCAAATTTGTTTTAAGTCCGACCTTCTACATATTGAAATTGCGAATCGCTTGCTTACAAAGCGTTCTCAGCGAAAAATAAAAACAAAAACTACTATATATAATACACCCCGTTGCAGTTTCCATAATGTCTGCAGAGTTGGGTAAATCAAATACATCTAGTTATAAGGTATTCAAGCTCTTCTATTCTACGGTTTTTATATATCTTATCAATTGAGAAAGAAATAATCGATCATCATCATAATTGAATGGCAGTATTATCAAATTCAATGATAACAAATCAACATATTTCAAAAGTACATATCATATCAACAACCAATTATCGTATTATTGTTATGAATATTGATCTACACAATTCTGAAACATGCACGTACAAAATGTGTTTCTATATTCCTGTTTCTAAATTAGGATAAAATTGATTTCGGTTACTGTATTGGCAAACAAATGCAATTCGATACTGTGTATATTTCAAATCGAAATACAAATGCCTACCATGCAATTGTTAATATTGCCGCCAGATTTATAAAATATGCAAGAATATTATCTTCAATTAAACACGTATGGCCTAGTTTATTCAAATACTAATTTCATTTACCACTTAAAGACTAAATTGTTTTTGTTTTTTTCCGCATTCGTTAGTACACATAATGGACTGAAAGCTCATTGTTTCCAGTTCAAACCGTGGTTTCACTATTGGCACGTTTCAGAGAACCAGAACTCGGGTCATGTTTCTTGGTCTCTGATCGTGAACTATCTGTGCTGCTAGTTGGAGAACTCGATGGTGTGTTGTCGGAGCTAGAGTCTGCTTTCAGTAGGAGTGATTGACGTACCACTTCCATTGTAGGCCTCAGAGGGGGAACTGTGGAATAAATGAAAGTTGTTAGAGAGTCAGGTCACCTGGTAGCATGGGGTTAAACTATACATAATTGTTGGCATTAATGACGTAAATTATGCATATATGTCACGTATTTCGATTACACTTGAAAGACGTCCACAGTCTTGTGACTATGCAGTTACACTGGAAAGTGGCTTTCCGGGGGCTGTACTTACGTGTGCCCTTTCGTTGATGTCCTCCTTGGGGTAGTAAAGGTTCAGCAAATTCATCACCATCTTCTTCATCTTCATCGCCAGCGTACTTTGCCTGCTGTGGAACCGGTGCATTTGCTGTTCCCACTGTTGTTGTAGTGATCGGTGGTTCATGGTATAACGGTGACTGTGTCTTGTTCACCGTCGCATACTCCGCCGGAGGACCCCCTTCACGCGATGAATGAGACGCTGATCGTTCGGGGAACGTAGTCAAGGCGATAGCTTCCTCCTTCTCTATCTCATCGGCCGTTGAATACATAGGGTCCGGATCATATTGGGACTCCAAATTCTGTGGCGGGTCTTCTGAATACTTAGTTTCCCCAGTTGTCATCACTGCATCCTCATCGTCCTCACTGTCCGTGTATTGTGGCTCAGTAGTTGATTTCCTCTCTGGGAAATTGAATGTTTTCCCTTCGCCGAAGGGTAATCTAAAATAAAAAAAATTCGGTTTATGTTAATAAATAACACAGATTTTTCATAAGCAATCCACTCATGTTTTGTTTTGTTTGTTGGCACACTACAACGTCCGTTCTTACTAGTAAACACAATAAAAGTATGCATATACGTAGGTTATTAAACTTGATATTAATAATACAATAATAATATTATCTAGACAAACCACTGGTAATATATATTATTAGTGCACTGCATGTAAAAATGTATACAATGCAGTAAAACTGTTGCTGTAGTGCATCTCTAATGAGTGTTTATAGTTTCTGTGAGCAGTGTTCATAATATACTCATGTATCAAGGCTGCGCACGCGCTGGAATTGAGTCCTAAACGAAGATAACAATGTACGCTAAAAAGCAAAGGCTTATGGGTAGACGCAAATGTCTGTCGCACGCGCAGCGCGTGTTCGAATTTCATGTAAATAAACAATGTATTTTACACGCGTTGTGTACGTCGCTATGAGTCCCATATCGAACAGGACGCGGCACAACGACTGCCGCCCTTTAAGTATTAATAGTACTGAAAAGTACCATGATTAACTAGGTGCATAAGAACTCCGTCAAAATAAAGCGACATTCACAAATTTAATCGTATTAAAGTACGTACCTGTTATTCAAAACATGGGCTCATTGTTATGAGCTGACTATTTCACTAAACGTGGGAAGACTGTGATATGCGTACCTCAACATTTTACTCATAGTTAACACGAAATATTGAAATATTACATACATACCCTGTTACTGAGCTGAATGGACCAATGGACGGCGATTTAAGAATGATGTAGGCGAGTGCACCAGACAATATACACACCTCCATTTCTAACAAGCCAATTACTACCAAGGAAATGTCAACGGCCATCCTGGAAGACTGAAAAAACATAACATCGTGGATTGAGAGCATATCAGTCGAAGCTTCATTTATATGTATGTAAAATGATCATTCATAACCAGCCGGCTAGGAGCTTTAGAGCCCACTTCAATCATACGTACATCTAGTATTATAACCATCCGAGTAAATTCAGAAGGCCCGTCAACTGACCATTGTAAGTGGACAAATTCAAAGAGGTAAATGAAACGAACACAAACTGACCTCATGGATGCACTCATAATCCATGTTGTCCTTGTTTTCTGCTTCCAGATATTCTTCATTACAGAACATTGAGAAGTATTCTTGTGTGGAGGCATACCAACCGTAAGCAGCGAGAAACAGCGCCATCACGAAGGATACTATACTCATGGCTAGCAACGCTTGTGACTGTAATGATATAACAAACATTATATTGCAACATCTTTTTAACGGCGATGAATTGCTACTTTGTGCAAATTATGGAAATACAACGTACATTATTACCAGTTGTATAACGCCACAGCCCGATATGAAAAAGGCTTTTTTCGCTTACTTCCGGTCGCCGATTTTCATCACCTCTAACTACAACTGACAAAATCGCGCTTAGTTCTCATTGGATTAGCCACCTTCAGAACTCATGCTGCAGGTGAATATGTCGACCGATCAGAGAAGAACTTCCTGGACGCTATTGTGTAGTTATTTGATCAGATGTACTTAGAAACGATGTGCATTGGCGGGAGGAAATGGGCGATCGGCGACCGAAAATAGGCGATCGGCTACCGAAAATAGACGAACGGTGATCAAAAATAAGCAAACGATGACCCGCAATTGGCGAACGGAACATATATTTGCATGTACAAACATGAAAACAAATAAACAGACTTGATGAACTTTTTTTTAACAGTAAGTGATACACCCCGTTAATATTGGATGGTAGTGTTAATAAGAGTTTATTTCTGGTGCATGGTGGTTTACATGTTACTATTTGTTACATGGTTCATATAATTCAGCCTCAACTTATTTACGTGTCGCAAATAGTGTACCTGGTCGCGATAAGCCCAAGGTTTAATATACAACTTCTACATGCACTTTGACCGGCACTACCAGTAATATACTCGCTATTAAAATATTTCTTTTTCCAAATTTAAAGTAAGACAAATAAAAATGTAATGAAAACTTTCAAGTTTAATCCCATACATGAACCATGAATACATATTAATCGGAACCCTCTAATTGTTGACAGAAAACAATTTCAGATATTCTTACCAAACCTATGGGTTCACTGGACCACTTTATTGCCATTCCTATGATCCCAGTAACCAGAAACTGAAATTGGAGAAGAAGCACGCCTTCTATTAATGGTCATAGGTCAGGGTATACTTTTTAATGTCACTAACAACAATTAACAGGTGTGACAATTATGCAGAGTGAATAAAAAAATAAACTAGACATTGTAGATGTTTTTCTCTACTAAGCATAACATGAGTAATAATCACCTCCACTTACAACACTTTTAAATCATAAACATGCGTATTTACAATGTACAAGTGTATACACAGATCACATAATGACAATACATGTTGATTTATTGCATGAATGGCGTATTTTTCGACATACTTACTATAATTCCAACCCATATTCCAACTCCCGCCATCCAACCAAAACACTTCAAGGCAATAATTGCCACGCCGACGGCGATGGTACAAATAGCCAATATAACATGGCATAATCCTAACCCATAGGCTATCTTACAAATAAACTTCTGTACGAGTTCAATAGGTTTCGGCATTCTTATAGAGAATCACAGCAAGATATATAATTCCAATTACAGACAGCAGTGTGCCTTCAGCAGAAGGACCTAATCTCGAGGCCCACCTAGGTACACGGAGACAGACAATTAGTGATTATAACGTTAAAGTTTGACCTTTCTCACTTGACGAATAACTGCGTTGTACTGCAAATTACCTCTACACCAAATAAACAAGGCATAGTAATAACAGTATAATTCACTACATGTTAGTGTGATTCCTGTCAAAAGATGATGATATAAAACACGTCGGTGTGAGATATTTTTGTACGATGCTCGATAGCAACATGAATTTTAGTAAAGAATTGATGAGTCTGTTTACGGTGACGTCATTGATTAACTGATATCTAACAGGGTGATACAGTGGACATAATTCAGATTAGCGCATCGTCATAATTTTGTTTACATTCACACCTCGATAACTGTTTACTAATGCAATAGTTACTGTTACAGATTTCTACAAATACATGCTTAACAAACAAATAATATCCGTTTACATTGCTAAAACAACAGTCATAATATTTTTTGTTTTTAATGTAAAATATTGTTTTTTTTAAAACACTCTAGATCAGTTGAAAAAAAATCGCAATTTGGCTGGTTTGAGTATATTGGAATTACAACAAAGTTATTTCAAAATGGATTGTCTTTTTTTTACCAGAACTGCAATTTCCTAGCAAACCAATGTGGTTATTATATATTGAGAAATTGTTTGATTGCCCGTTTTTGTAGATTCACAAAAGTCGTGAACACAAAATTACGATATTCCACAAAACTGCTTATGGCATTGCACACGTTGAATATGTATGACCAACACACGACTAATCACACACATTAGACAATGTAACAGCAATACTATATACTGTAAAGGGGGTAATTATTCACTGGGTTTTAATTTAGCTTATTTCGCTGACTGGAAAATGCGCTAAATTAAAACACAGTGAATAAGTAAAATTTACCATAGAACACATTATCTAAATGACGAAACCGTGAATTTAAAACCCAGTGAATATGCCTGAAATGGTAAATCAGTGAAATTTAAACCCAGTGAAAACTAGTCATTTTACAGTATTCTGCGTTGATATGCGCGTGCCCCAGAGTCGCGACTCTCGAATATATCAACAGTATGTTTTAAAGCAGCCATTGAAAGAGGTTTCAGTACCACTACGCCCTACTATTAATTACACTGGGATGAAAATGAGGCAAATATTTGGCACACTGGCACAATATCGTTTATGATGGCAGTAAATTAAAATTGATAAACATTATACAATATTCACAATATTTTATGTGAGTTAGATGTATCAGCATAATTCGTTGTTAGTTTAGGCGGGAAGCTGAGGTCAGTTTACAAGTCCTGAATGCATGTGTTTAAACACCTACTGGAAACGTGTGTTCAGGTCCGTTACGCATGGCTGGTATATTCTAACACTCCCTTCGAATACCTTTTTTCAGATTCTCGGATATTTATATTCAAGTCGTGTACACCTGATGACATGACATGCAATAATATCTTACCTGGATACCAGTAACTTGAGAATAACTTTAGCAAAAGTCGGTGTTCAAAATGGCCGACATTTCATGCCAATTCTTGATAGATAACTGCAATGAACCTCGGTGTGAGGCAGGTGGCACACTATAAAATCATCGCGAACGCTACTTGGTAACGAAAAACTTCACGAATCCAACTACAGTTGAGTCCCTAACTCTTCGAAAACCTACAGGGTAAGGACTACTTTATTCCCGCTGAGATGCACAGACTCTTCATAAACCTATGAAAGACAAGTTCCATCCACTAGAAATTATTTTTTTTAATAAGTAGAAAAATTAAATTAAATACAATAAACTATCAAACCATACATACTAATATTGTAGTATATAATTTCGTAACATTGTACAGGTGTTGTGGAAATATTTGCTGAGCTAGGGTGTCTAGTTGATATCAGATGCAGACTTTGATCTTAGTTCGGTGGACTTAAGTGATGTCTCCGTTATAATGTAGGCGGTTATTGGTCGTTATATGTTTCATATTTATCACACACATGGAATGTAGTTAATATTTTATTTGTCTATACATTTGAATAAAATCGGTCGTTTCAGCTACTTACAGATATATTCAAACATTTTATTTTATCTACATCATACTAATATGAACAACAACATCTTTAATGACTGTGTCTGGATAATTTTAATACCAAAAAAACCGCATTTTTTAAATCAGGAATCAGCAATATAACATAAACATTACTACGTGCATGAGGACAAGACACGGAACATTTACGTGTTGACACGTGATATTGATATAAGATATAATCATTGGAGTTTGGTGTTTATAATATGTTACACATTAAAAGTTCAACCTAGGTCAACATACTTATTTATTTGTTAAATACGCCGTACGGAAAGATTAAACCAAGTATTTAAAAAGGTCATGGTCGCCATGACGTGTTTGATACGGACACAAAATACCGTGACTGAAACATGAAAATCATTTTAAGAAAACATGATAATAATATGGCGCATACGCTGATAACAAAAGAAAATATACAAATTACACCATTTACTCAACGGTAAATAGAAATGACAAATACAACCAAATTTCTTCAACTAAATATACTTTTTATTCAATAAATATTTGTAATGAGTGCAAGATAACAATTTCAATGAATCATACATATTCGTTTTAATATCTCAATATTAATTACTTAACCACAATTACTCTACTGGAGGTATCACTTGACACAACTTGGATTGTTACTCGAATCTGACGGGTGTATTACTCCCAACACATCATTATAAGTATTACTTCTGTCTACTAGATGTATTCCTCAACACTACTGGGAGTATTACTTTGCTTGAGATCTCTTCATACCTGTTTTACTTGGACGATTACTATAACACTATAAGTGTTGCTCCAATTACTCTATTACTCTGCTTGAAGTACCAGTCAACTCCAATCGTATTATTCTAATATAATCATTACATCACTCCATAAAACTGGTAGTATTACTCTACTATACACAGTATTACTTAATTTTTCGGGAGAATTACTTTGCTTGAAGTATCATTTCTCTTTAATGGAAGTATTGTTTTACTTTTATTACTTTCATTTGTTTTAAATATTACTCCACTCTAAACTGCCTCGAGTTTTATTACTTCATTAGAAGTATTAATTTAATTTTCTAGAAGTATTACTTTGTTTTAACTACTGGGAGTATTACTAGTACTTTGCTTGATATCTCTTCATGCTGTTCTACTTCGAGGATTGCTACTGGAAGTATTGCTCAACTCGGAAGCACCAGTCAACTCCAATCGAAGTATTGCTCCAATGCAATAATTACTTCACTCTACTCTATTGGTAGTATTACTTCATATTACTGGTAGTATTACGTTACTCCACATGTAGTTTAACTAGAATACTACATTTCTGGGAGTCTTGCTTTGCTCAGGTTCAACTTTTATTTTTTTTTAAATATTATAGAGGGTGTTTCATAATCATAAGTAGCCAAAGTCAAATTGAACTGGTTGAAATAACACTCGATCCTTTGTAGACAACTTTGCGATTTCTAAGCATCAAATAATTTAATGTGAGATTGCATCTTGAAAATAGCATTAAGTATATATAGCAGTATTCTTTCGATGAAAAACTGAAAACACGAGTTATTTTTTAAATATAGTGTACCTGTATTTTTAGGTTAGTCTGTATATGACTTCGATCATTAAACCATCTTCTGTTTTTATCCAGATGCAATATTAAAGAACAAATATTAAACATGCTTAAAAAAATACTCTTAAAACTTTCTGTATAAAGCTGTATTTTAAATGCATCTCCCCACCCCTGGCTACTATTATCACCGATTGGTCGTTATATATCCCAAATTGTGCTTTCACTGGCGCCTCTAATAACCAGTGAAGTGAATTATTGTTCTTGTTTAACATTCATTCATTTTGAAGATTCGTTGTTGACCGTAGATGATTTTGCTTAGATTCAACTCCTTAAAATGTGATGGTGAATGATCTGAATGTATCATTTCCCGAGTATTCTTGAAAATATTTACGATACTGGACGTCGAGACGTATATTCACGAACTTGGCAACAACTTTATGCAGTGAGTTATGATTTATATATAATAACAGCTCACTTAGATTTCATAAATAATTTTAATGACTCGAAGAGCTATGTTTAGATGGCTTTTAGATGAAATGTGTGGGCCATAATACTGCGAATGTGGTGAGTTGTGAGTGTGTTTTTCTGTAGCTTCATCGCGGGCTGCGTGTTATCTCAGGGTACGTGTGTTATGCAACACTTTACGTATAGAAGGTTAATGGGCTAATGATTTGTAACATCGTCCTGTACACACATAGTGAACTACATGTCTTCTCCTAGTAAACATGTATTATTGAAAGAAAACTAGTAAACTGTTTGTGACAAAAAAAGGGAAGTAGTACTTTCTTAGTAATTGGGCTTTGTTGAAAACAAAGATACTAGGAAGCGGGTACTATATCGGACAAAGAAAGAGTACTTTCTTAGTAAATGCTGAAAGAAAACTTTTCGCCATCGAAGGACTGCAATAGGGACGAGCCAAAAATCAGTATTTAAATATTTATAAGCCTATATTACAATATGGATGGATTCTGGATGATGTAGTGTACCAGGCCTTGGACGTACAATTTCACTGTGAAAGTGAATGTGCTGTGGATGATCGACAAACTGTATCGCCGAGATAGCTGCAGACTTGTATAATATATCTGAGAAAGTTCAAATCTAAACTGCTGCCCTAAGAAACTTCTTGATAAATATGTTTTACGGTGACCGTCTTGATATTAATATTAACACAGGCTTTTATATCATGCCACCATTTTGGTTTGGATTCAAGTAACCGAACTGTTGTCTCCGGTTTGTATTTTGTCTCCAAAACCCAAAGAAAAAAATTACCTTTAAATTGTGGCCGTTTTTAAATCTCATTCTCCTGGATTACTGGCCTTGATAGATGTAGTCACTGGGATGTAATAACTGCATCAAGATAAATAAATGATCTTCCTGTGTCAGATAATAATATATACACTATGCGATGACGGGTACTACTGTGCGAGTGTAAAATTACAGTACTCCATCAATAATCCATTAAAAGTTCTAAATATTCTTAAAATTATTTGTAATTGATATGAAATCATACGACCATACATGGAAAGTCAGTGAAGTGTCTTTTATTCGGAGTAAACTAAAAAAAAAACAATTCTTAAATGAAAACATTCCATTTTAACGTAAATCACATAAGTATAAAAAAAACATTAAGTATACAAACGACATTCTTATTGTTTGTGGTCAATTGATTACAACATTGTTCTCAAATATTCACCAAATACAGAAACTCGATACGTTCTAAAAATAATCGGACAGGCAATTGTGGCATTCAACTAAATCTTGTTTCAAGAGCGGAGCTCTGGCCCTCAATACTCCCTACGTCCACCATAACTGTTGCCCACAATTTCAATGGACTATTAGAATTATTACCCCACTCTACTGGTAATATTACTCCATTTTTGTGAGAGTATAACTCAATTCCAGTGGGATTATTACTCTATTTGAATCATTACTTTACTCTGATGTAAGTATTATTCTAGTGGCACTATCATTGTATTATACGTATTGTATTCTACTTAAAGTATCACCATGCCATAACCCAACCATATCAACAAAAAATCACATCCCACCCCCATCTACTCCACTCTAAATGCATTGACTATTATATGCTAAATGTTAAGTTGCGAAAGTTTATTTTTTTCTGGATTGCCTTAATTTGAACATTCTGCAAACAGTGATTGTCTGTATTATTATTCAAAGATCAAAAGCGTCTGCGATTTCAAGCATTATATAACAAGGTCCTAGCCGTATATAAATATCTATAGATGCGAAAGTTAAAATGTTTCTTACAACTGTGTTTAACAGTTTTATCCTAGCACAAGTTTTAAAACAAAAAACTAATAACATCAAAATGAGTGTGGCAATTTTCAATATAATGTGAGAATTAGATCAAACACAGTGTTTCCCACCCAGGATTCTATTTTTAAGTATCGCAAACATATGATTTGTTTGCACTCATTTAAGTGTATTTGCAAGATTGTTCGTTTTTGGCACTTTGACCCTAACATCATTTTTATTTACATCATCTCTCGAACATAATCCAACTCTACTGCTCACTTCCGTCATAGGGAAAAATTACATACAAATTTTTACGACTGTTGAACTAGATAATAAACGTGAATCGAATGTATGTGGCGGGTGTTCTGAATGCTGAATGTTCTATTCATCGTATCCGGGTCTATTCCCTCCGTGGTAAGTTGAACTGTTTCTCCTTCTCTTTGCCAAAGGGTAATCTGAATGAAAAAAAAATAATATTAACATTAGACGTGTGATACTGTCAGGGCTAGGTTTATTGCACAGATTATGCATGGTTTATCATGTTTTCGGTATACATGCCATGTTTTCATTCCACAAAACAATATGTGAACATTTTCACAAGTTATTGTACTTAATATCAATACAATATTAAGACAAACTACAGGGGGCGATATCATGGCTAGATACATGGATAAACAATGGTATGAGGGCGTAAGTAAATATAGCGTGCACTGTCATGTACAAATGTGTACAATACTGTAAAATAATTTCTATTAAGTAAACACAAGCGATGTACACTCAAAATATCATAAAGTAGTATTAATCATTAATTAATCTTTACATTTTGCGTTTTGTGTGTCGAATTTGTACATGTCTATTCTGTGTTGGTCAATAACATGTGAATTGAAATACTACGCTTCTGTTCAATGTTATTATAGTACGTACCAGTTATTCATAACGCATGCCCATTGTAATGTGTTGACTACTAGTAACTGACGAAACGTGGAAATACTGTGATATGCGTGATCAATATGTCGAGATTGAAATAATACATACCCGGTTATTGAGTTGAATGGCCCAATGGCCGGGGCTTCAAACATTAGATAGGCAAGTATTCCAGATACTATTGACACCTCCACTTCGAGCAAGCCTAATACCACCAAGATAATGTCAATACACATTCTAATTGTCTGAAACACATAACAACGTGGATTAAGAACATAGTCATTCATGCTTCAATTAAATTGCATGTATGTAATCAGTACACGTGGTCTAGCTAACCTGGGTCTTTAGAACACTTTTCAACATTTGTGCGCATGTACTACGTGTTGTTCACGAAATACAGTATTCAGAGGGGTGACACTCATCTGAGAGGGTAGCCATTTGAAATCTTGAGGTGGCTGTAAGAGTGTAGCTAGCACAATTTTTGTTTTAACTTTGTTTGATTGTGCAACATCTTCTTGCATACAATTTCTTTCAACAAATATTCCGGCAAACCCTATGATTTCAAATGTTAGACCACTAACACAAACTCACCTCATCGACACACACATAGTCGTTTTCCAACTGTTGATTACAATACAAAGAGAAGTATTCCTGCGTGGCAGCATACCATCCGTAAATAGCAAGAAAAACCCCTAACAGGCATGATATAATGCTCATGACAAGCAGGCCGTATGACTGCAAAAATATAAAACAAACATTCTATTAGAACATTTAATCAACGAGGATGCCTTATGCCAATTATGGAAATTACTTATTATCGAAAGTTGGACTAACAATTACACGTTATACTGATACTAGCTCTATACGCCATAGTCATATTACAATCCGATGCATGTATCGCCGGTTTTCATCGCATTCGACTACATCTGACTAAATTACGCATGGTACTGGTTGGATTAGCCACCATTAGAACTCATGCTGAAGGCCGCGAATATATTGACCAGTCAGAGAGTAACTGCCTGAACAAAATTTGAATAGTCTTTTGATCAGATGTAGTTAGATACGATGTACACTGGCGGCTGAGAATATGCGACCGATTGGCGGACTGACATCGAATTTTGATCCGACTACGCCAATCATGACACAGGTTCGCACATGAAAACAAATGGGAAAACTTGATCAACTAATACTACAGGTACCTGACCGTGATTACCCTAATATTTAATATTCAACTTTTACATGCACTTTGACCGGCGTGACTATTATGGCACTACTAGTATACACTCGCTATTAAAACTAAATATTGTCTCTATGTGACAAATTAAGCTATTCTTACCAATCCTCTGGGTTCACTGGACCACCTCATTGCTATTGCTATGAACCCAGTAATCAAAAACTGCAATAAAAAAAGCATGCGTTCTGTTAGAGTTACAGGTCAAAACAATGTCAATAACAGTTAACACGGGTCGGTGAATCATTGACAGAGTCATAAGAAACAACAGTTTTAAAACACCCATATTTACAAAGAAAAAAACAGATTCATGCAAAGATTACACAACAAAAATACATAATGATTGATTAGCACATTTCTCGACATACTTACCATAAATCCAGCCCACAATCCAACCGCCAGCATCCAACCAACACACTTAAAAATCATAATCGCTGTGCCGACGCCGACGGTACAAAACCCTAATACTATATGGCACATGCCTAGCCCAAAGGCTATGCTAATGACAAAGTTCTGTATTACTTCAACAGGTTTCGGCATCTTTATAGAGTGTCACAGCAAAATATATAATTCCAATTGCAGGCTGTTGTATGTGGGTCCTGATATCGAGGCTCACCTAGGGTACACGGAGGCAGACAAATTAGTGATTATAACTTTAACGTTTGACCTTTCTCAGTTGACGAATAACAGCTCTCTACTGAAAAAAAAAAATTACTTCTACATCAAGTAAGCAAGGCATACTAATATAAGTTAGTATTCACTATATGTAAGCGTGATTCCTGTCAAGGAAAATAAATAAAACACGTAGGCGTGAGATATTTTTCGTACCATGCTCGAATAACTACATACATTTTAGTAACAAATTGATACATTCTGTTTATGGTGACGTCATTGATTAATAGTGATCTATCACATAGTGATACGGGACAGTAAACTATTCTTTAACACAAAATAACGCATCGCCATAGTTCTGTTTACATTACCGTCTCGATCAACTGTTTACTAATACCCTGGTCCCGTTTCCGATTTATACGACTTTAAAATGATATTTCTGCCATTACTGTGAAGAATTTTTTTTTTCAATGTACTCCTGATCAGTTGTAATGAATATCATTTCCACATATTTTTTTTGTAGAAAATAGATACACAACTTTTTTTTTGTATCTAGAATTGGAATTTTACTAGCAGATCCACGATATAATTTTGTAATCTTGTTTGTTTGACCAATCCATTAGATTGATAAAAGTCGTGAGCACAAAATTGCGATACGATAGTTTTTCACTAAACTATTTCACACATAAAGATTGACGTAACAGCAATACAATACACACGGGTGTTTGTGTTGGTAGCATTTGTATATCGATAAACAGTATACAATATTCACACTATTTTATGTTGTTAGTTTAGGCGGGAAGCTGGGGTCAGTTTACAAGTCCTGAATGCATGTGTTTAAACAACTACTGGGAACGAGTGTTCAGGTCCGTTACGCATGGCTGGTATACTAGTATTCTAACACTCCCTTCGAATAGTCTCTTCGGGCTCTCGTGTATCTATATTCAAGTCGTATACACCTAGAGATGACATGCAATGTGTTTGACATCTTACCTGTGTACCAATAACTTGAAAATGTCTTTAGCAAAAACCTGGTTTCAAAATGGCCGACATTTCACGCCAAATCTTGATAGATAACTGCAATGAACCTCAATGTGAGGCAGGTGGCACACTATGAAATCATCACATTCACTACTTAGTAACGAAAAAACTTCATGAATCCAACTATAGTTGAGTCCCTAACTCTTCAGAAAGCTGTACACTAGGGACTACTTTATTCCTGCGTAAAGACACAGTCCCTTCATAAACCACTGACAGACAAGTTCTATCGACTCAATTGTCGTTTTATATATCAGTAGAAACAAACTTATTAAATAAAACAACTATCAAACCATAAATACTAATATTGTAGAATATGATTTTGTACATTGTACAGGTGTTTTGGAAATATTTGCTGAGCTAGGGTGTCTAGTTGATATCAGATGCAGACTTTGACCTTAGTTCGGTGGACATAAGTGATGTCTCCAATATAATGAAGGCGGTTATTGGTCGTTGAATGTTTCATATTTATCACACACATGGAATGTAGTTAATATTTTATTTGTTCTATACATTTGAATAAAATCGGTCGTTTCAGCTACTTACAGATATATTCAAACATTTTATTTTATCTACATCATACTAATATGAACAACAACATAATATTTTATTTGTTCGTCTATTTGTCTATTTTAATGAAATCAGTCCTTACGGCTGCTTACCGATACATTTCAAATATTTACTTTTATCTGTATCATACCTTTAATAATTATGTCTGCGTAATTTAAATAAAAACAATTTCTAAAACAATAACCAGCGATATAACAAGAACCTATAAAGGCATTTTCCAACCGACGTGCACAAACAAGACACGGGAAACATACTCAGTGTTGACACGTGATATTGATATTAGATATATTTATTTGGGTTTGTTATTTATAATATGTTACACATTAACAGGTCAACTGAGGTCAATATATGTTTGTGTTTATCAGCGGTGGTACTAAATTACGCCCTCTATTATATATGCTTATATATAATTTTGTTTGCGTCGTATGTCCTGCTGAGCCCTTCAAACACAACGTGTGGTATAATCGTTCTAATCACGTAAAGAGCCACTGTCGTCATGACGCGCCGTGTTTGATATGAGTCCCACACGACGTATACAACGTGTGTAAAAACATTACATTGATAACGCACGCTGCACGTTTTAAAAACTTGATCGAATGCATTCCTTGATTTCAAATTATCAATAGTATCAATCAGTATGTATCAATCGTCTGTAAAATATCCTAGTCTTTGCATTAAAGTATAATTGTTTTATGAATTTGTGAATCTCGAAAATATACACGTACATTCCTTACAACATATTTTTATATTTGCAGTAATTTGTAATATAAAAATACCTTTGTGATTGAGATGCATACTAAAACAATATATTTACAGTAAATTGAAAGTTTTAAAATGTTGCAAAGTTATCTAGAATAAAATTTCGAGAACAACTTTTAGAAGAAAAAACACAATTGTAGAATGCACAATATACAGTACACACTCGTAGTTGCCAAGGAAACAAGTAAATGTAGACCCACCACCAACGTATTTAACTGTAGTATCGGCTTGGTATTATGGTAGTAATCTGTTAATATATTTGTTTCAGTCCATACTACATCACCTATCTATCTACATCACCCGTATTTATTAATTGTTTAAAAAAAAGTTAGTAGAAAAGTCCGTTACTGAAACATCAAAACATTATAATGTTAGTATGTGCATAATTATGCTAATGAACATACAAACTACATAGAAATAAAAAAAACACCAAAAACCTTCAACGTAAAAATATTTTTCATTCAATAAATATTTATAATGAGTACTGTTTTCAGTGAATAATTTAAACTATTTAACATATTCGTTCTGACGTTAATATCCCAATATGATTTTCTTAACCACAATTAATCTACTGGAAGCGCTACTTGACTGAAAGTGTTATCAATTCTGCTGGGGGTATTACTCTGAACACTCGATTATTAATTTTACTTCATTCTGCACTACTTGGAGTATTACTTTGCTTGATATCTCTTCATTCTGAAGGATTTCTACGCTCTAATAGAAGTGTTGCTATACTCGGCTCTTCAAGGAGTAATATTCTGTTTGATGTATCAGTCAACTCAAATCGAAGTATTGCTCTGATAGAACCTTGACTCCACTCTATTTTACGTTATTGGCAGTATTACTCAACTGGGAGTTTATTCCTCTATTTGAACTATTACTTCACTCTGCTTGAAGTATATATATTCTTGTACTATGCGTATACTGTCACTCTCACGGGAGTACTACTCTACTCTGCGAGTTTTACCAGTATCACGCTAATTAACCCTACCTTAACTCACCTCGCCCGAGCAACACCCATCCAATCTCTTCCATCACAGTCTACTCATTTCCACCCCAACTCACTGTACCTCGCTTCATTCCTAGGCACCGAATCCACTATAATATATTACAATATGTTGACGTTAAATACAAAGTAACACGGATCACTGATTATCTCATTTTTCATTATGAGAAATTATAATTTTTATAGATACAGTGGCCAATGTTTATGATTATTATAATAATAAGATAATAAAGTGTTAAGCTGATCTGATCGGGTAATACATAAGTGCTTCCTCAGAATGTTTAATTTCTATTCTAACTCAAATTCTGATTATAAATTTCAGAACAAAATACTAATATCACCGAAATATTTGAAATAAGATTAAATATATCAATGTGGGAACAATTAGATTCAACAAAAGTATGATCTTTGAAAAGTCTTTCTTCAAGTCTAACACCATTTTCACCATCTTTTGAACATAATCCAACACAGCTTTTAGCTTTCATACGTAGGGCACAATTGCATATGTAGTAGTTGAAATTACGTGTGGGTTTAATTTTATACTCGATCGGAAGATCGATACATATTGTGGTAATATCCGCTTGTAGTGGCTGGTAAACGACCATCTGAATCTATAGAAGATGTGCTTTTTGATTGTCGTGTCGGCCTTTCTGTAGCAAAGTCTGGCAACGCCATATCCCCATGCATCGTCGCCTCATTGACAGGCACTCCAGCTCGATAAGAGCTATTGGGGTTGCCAAAAATACCATGATTGCTTCCTGACCATGGTTGGGCTCTATGTGAGCAAGGCTCATCCATTCTATCCGTTGACCGTGTTTGGCCATTTGCAAAGTTCCAATCAGGAATTACCATCTCATCATCCGGGAGTGTGCGTTGGTAGTTATTGGGGTCAGTTTCATAACCACGAGTAGTGGGAATTGAGTGATCTTCTTGTTCTGGATGATAAGTGTGCCCCTTTGACAGACTTGTTGAATCGCTAGAGGTCTCACTGATTGATGTGTCAATTGATTCGACAGGAGATGGGTTACGTCTAAGATGATTTTCCCAATCATTCTGTGTATCAGTTCCAGGGAAACCATCTTCACTGCCATTATGATGAGTGCCATCAGCTAGAAGGGAATGTGGTTCATTCATATTAGCCATCTGGATTGGTTGATTATCTCTGCCTATCACACCTAAGTGTGCCTCTTCTGGCTTCCCATACAGTTTCTCAAGACTTTTTCTAATTGAGCCCTCCGTGAACCTTTCATCTTCACCACTGTATGGCTTTGGTTTCATCTTGTTTGAGCGAGCTGCCTTCTGTAGATGTCTTGCATGCGGGTTGTACTTGTCATGTGAATTGTCAGCAGCATCATTGACAATGAAGACTGGTTCGTCTGATGGTCCTCTGTATAAATCTGGTGATTGGGGGCATGGTGTATGCACGACTGCACGATTGTCATTCTCATCTGAGTTTGCATATCTTTGGTCGGGATTACTTATTTCATCATTTAATACCATATGCGGATTAGTATAACTTTTGGTCTCAGAATCAAACAAGGAATCTTGCCTTGGCTCTAATTGAAGTGGCACCTCCTCGTACATGTGTGCACTTTCTGGCTCTGATGCTACGTCATCATACCTGTGTACCTTAGGAGCGCCAGAATCATCTGATTGCAGATGAATGCTTGATGCCCAGGGAGAGGCAGGTGCCAAACTGGGTGTGGACAGACCTGTGCGACAAGGCTCAGTTACATACCGTGGATCATCATCTGATTCATGACCATACTGTGTATATGGGGATTGCTGATTCAGAATCACGACATTCTCCCGTGATGTTACGGGTGTCTCCATCATTTGAACTGCTGCTTCATGGTCGTTGCTTGACCGGATGCGTGTAGGCGTGATAACCCTGGGTGGATGGTCTAACTGTTCTATTTCTACCTTGTCCTGGTTTCTGTTTTTATTTGGCCTGGCTGTAGGCTCTGTGTGACGGGGTTGTTGAGAAGAGCGCGGTTTGCGTTTGTTTGCTTTATCTTCAGCAGTGATCGTGGCCGAAAATGCTGGATTCACGTGGGCCAGAGTTCTAGGCGGGGCACCTTCATTGGAATCAGCCAATGGATCTTCACTGTACCGATTCTCAGACGACGTTGCTGTACTGAAGTTATTCAATCGTGATTCCGATGTATGTGCAGGTGGGCTGAATAATGGACAAACAAATTTCGATTTAAATAAATTACAAGGTAAGATGATATTAACAATTTCAACGCCTGAATGGCCAGTGTCACCTTTAATATATAGAATACTCAATCATGGAAAATGTCGGCCATTTATCATTCTCATCAATAATACTATCTTTTCAACAACTGAGTATGTTAACTTGACCCTAGAGCCCGACAGGATATGATGTTCACGAGAGAATACTAATATTAAATATATGGAAGAACCTTATCAAACAGTCAATGGCCCGAATAGTAGTGTAAACTACTAGTTTTTACGACATGGCCAATTTAGAATTCAGCATGTCAAATTCATAACAAAGTGTCATGTCAAATTGTTTGTTAGCCAAAGAATATAACTACAAGTATCTGTTATTAGAAAACTTTTACATTCCTTACCTTTTTGGGTCAAATATAAGATCTGCTGGTTCACCATTATAAATAGTCTGAACTAAATAACAAGCTGCTAAGGCTTCGCATATTACTAGTGTACCAAACATTACCATGACAACGTCTAAACATATACGAAGTGCCTGGCGAAATAAAAACATTGTTCTTGGTAAGGAAAGAAGAACAGTAAATATAAAATTCGAAACAGGGGAATTTGATTTAACGATGTTCCGTGTTACATTGACAGTTGGAAAAAGTAAGATATGGAACATGAGAGGAAAAAGAAATAACAACATTAAACATATAAGATCAAACACTTACAGGATGCCATACATTATTAGGTCAGCTGAGAATCAAATGACATTATTTTGTGGGAAAGCTTTGACCACCAACAATCAATTTACTACATACTATGAAATATGATCTATGTATTAATTAAATGCAACTTCATCTTACCTCATCTCCACAGTTATAACCATTTGTGGGACAATTCTTGGAAGAAGATTCATTAGCTGCCGCGAGAAATCCGTGTATTATAAGCCCGATCGCCA